CGTTTGAAGCACAAACTTCACTTCTGGGTCTCTGCCTGGGAGTGACAGGGCCGTGTCAAGTGACATCAAACCCCCCCCTTCTCCCTGCTGCTCCAGTTTGCACTGGAAGGGGATGGGGAGGACCGGCAGGGGTTTGCCTGTCAACAGGAGGCAAATGGCACCCCTAGCTACAATGCTCATGGTATAGTCATTTTAGCACTAGTTCCCGTGCAAGACCTACAGTCCAGTTTCTGCCATAACTTTCGTACCTCCAGAGAGACTGCACCCCTAGCTACAATGCTCATGGTATAATTTTAGCAATACTTCCCGTGCAAGACCTACAGTCCAGTTTTTGCCATAACTTTCGTACCTCCAGAGAGACAAACGATGCCTTCTCTATGAACAGAGGGCATTCTGCTCCTTCCAAGGGTTAGAATTCTACAAACGTCATGCCCGGTAGGTGACACTGCCTTTGACCGAGAAACCTGGGCCCCGATCCCCGCTCAGCCATCACAGGAGGGCTTTATACCAGGTGGCGGGCAGCTGATGTTTGAGGAGTCCCTAGGAGAGGCGGGGCAGGGATGGGGCTAGACAAGGCTTCAGTCCCGGGGGCAGTTAGTTGCCTCAGTGTCCTCTTCCCCACACACCACACACAGCTGCCGCACTCTCTCCCTCCCCGTCTGACCTACCTCGCAAGTTGGCTGAAGGGATAAAAGAACCACCTGGTGCCATCTGGAGTGCTTTGGAGAAGAACAGGCCTCAAACGCGACACGTAAGTAAACACATAAGAACGTGTTTGCCTTCCAAGCGCTCACCTTTTCACTCCTAAAATTTTGTAGTAGTCTCTCTTCTGGGATTGCTTCAGCATCCTCCGGGCTCTCTCCAGGCCTTCCAGGATCTCTTGATCGTTGTCACTGTGCTCCTTTGCCGCTTCAAAGTCCCGAATAGCTATCCAGAACACATAATTAAGGTACCTTTAATTATTCTGCAACGAGTTATCTTCTGAAGAGGGCTGAGGCTCAAATTTTTACTGACGCCAAGTACATTATTATGTGATTTATTTGAACATACGGACACAAGGAGAGCCACCTTTTCAGTGAGACGGCTGGTCCAGGACACTCTCCTCAGACTAGCTGAGGCCCTCCCTGGTTTCAGGCAGAGACCTGAATTTCCCAGCCCCCTCATCTGCAGTCGGAACTTTGAAGATGTCAAGGACTGAGCTTAAGGCCCTCTGACACAAAGCATGAATTCTAAGCTGCGCACTCTCCCCAAGAACCAAAGCCAAGCCTTTTATTAGATCTGAGGCAGCTCAACAAGGAGTATTACCGAAGACTGCTGCCCGCCGGTAGTAGGAGACCTCCCTGCCCCACTGCCACTGCCTGCCGCCGGCACCCTAACTGCTCAGCTGGGTGGTGGGAGAAAAACAGTGAGCAAAATACAGGGTGCACAGTAAGAATCCCTGGAATAATGGTGCCAACTTCTGGTGAGACCCTGTCATGATCTGGCCTGTGCCACCAGAGGCCTACTAGGCCCAGGGAGCCTGGCTAGCAGTAGGTGAGGCTGGGACTACAACTCCCAGAAGCCCCTGGGAGGTTTTGGAGCCAAAATGGACCAATAGGGAAGAAGAGGGCCGGGGAACAAAAGGGCTGGTGCCAGAGCAGAAGCTGTTCTTTCTTCCAGCGGGCAGAGCCAGAAGGAAGGCTGCTGCAAGGAAGAAACCCTCATCCATGGAAGGGTGAGTAGTCTAGTGTCACTTGGAATAGTGATCTAGGGACAGTATATATTTAGACGCGTTAGGGCATTTGATTTCTTTTCTTTTCACCCACTTACTGTTATTGTTCTGCACCTTGTTGTCTGACCTCCTATAAAATAAACCTTTTCCTTGTTTCACTCTGCCTGGTCCTCACACCTATTATTCGGCCAAAAGGGAGGTCTGAAGGTCTTGGGAGGGAGCTCTGAGCCTTCTCACGGGAACCTAAATCCAGTGGTGGTAGCGTCAGGTGACACCCCACCTGAGCCGTGACTAGGGTTGCCAAGTCACCCGGAAGTGACACAGCCGCGTCGAGGGCAGGACCACGGTCATCAGAAGGAAAAACATAGAGTTTTCCCTCGGATGACCGCGGCCCCGGCGCGCCCGACATGGCTGCGTCACTTCCGGGTGACGTGCTGACGCCGGGCACGTCATGTGCTTTGGGGGTGGGGTTCCCCCCTGGGGTCCGATCCGTCGGCGGCAGGTAATGAGCCTCTGGGGCGGGGTTTTCCCCGCCCCCTGGAGGGACTTGGCAAGCCTAGCTTTGACAGACCCGGAAGTGATATCATCACCTGGGGTGACACTCTAGCATTCACCCAAAACTCTATGGTTAAACCCTCCAGAATGACATCAGTTCCCCAGGTCGCCCCCTTCCACTTGCCGCTTCGCTACCTAAGGCCATTATATAACACGTTCCTTTTCCATAAAGATAAGAATTTCAGAAACTCAAGTCATCTTGCAGCTATCTTGCACTAAAGCAGAGTTTCTTTAAAACAAACATACAAAATGGATTTCCATAATTGCATTGCTGCTCTAAGCCTAGAAACGGAATGCTTAAGCTCCAACTGCCGTGTCCTTTGCCCAGGACTGCTTTGCATTCCCTACGTAATGAGTCTTTTCTGGTTTCTCTGTTTCTAATCTTGGAACGTCTCATTACGGATCTAAGGCTTCGAGCTTCCCTAAGTAAGACAAAGTATTTGCATCAGATTATCTTCCAGCAGCTGTTCCCTCTCAGTAGACATTACATTCATCTTTTTGTTGTTTCTGGGCAAGCCGGCAGGAGATGGTGACCAATTTATATCACTTAGACACTTGGGGGCTGCCAGCAATTCTTTTCTGAAGATTTTAAGAAAAGAAATATTTCTGATGCCCCGGTGATTTAAGCGTCCATCCACCAACAAAGTGCAAACATCACTTCTCTTTCATCCTCACTAGCTGGCCTGCTGTGACGTGCTACGAAAGTGCCTCGCCTGCCACAGACATATTTTTTTTAACACTTTGGCCATTCAGCTTGGAAAGCCAGCAGGAAATGGCTGTCCGTGCCCATAATAAACACTCCACGGCTATATCTGAATTGGAAAGTGAAACTTCTGGGACCTTTCCATCACACCGCTTTATTGCCCCAGTAACATTAAGCACCAGACAACCTCATCTATTCCATCTAGGGAACCCATTATAAGGCCTCGTAATGAATGCCTACCGCAAGATAGCCTTTCCCGTTTATTGCCACTGGCAACCGCAATACACCCCTGCTAGTGGGGAGAGGACACCGCCACGCTGTTAAAAATAATACAATTCATATACTCGTCCCTGCTGCAAAGCATAAAAGGCAGCCACTCACATGTCCGGGTTTCCCTGAATGCAGCTTTACATTCAGCACAGACTGGTCAGAGACAAACACAAGGTTCCCAGCCCTGGGTCTGCACCTTTGGCGTGGGGGGGGCTTCCACTAACAGCTGGCCATCAGCAGGAGAGGCGGGGCAGGGACCGAGGGAATGGCACCATGCCAATGGTGTGGTTGTCCTTTCCGGCGAATACTAGAAACTCTAGTTTCCTCCAAAGTCCTAGAACATTGCATCGATGTCACACCAGTGACATGACGTCCCTTCTGTGTGTTTGCTAGACATGACACATTACTGGCACGCCCCCATTTTTTAAAAAAACTGTTTACCTCCCACGCTGGTGGGCAACAGAAGGGAGAAATGGTATCCTTACCCACAGGCCAGGGTGATGATGGCCATTTGCAGGGGAGCAGTGCTGGAAAGAGAGCGGATGCTTACCGCTTCCCTCACCTGCAGCTTTGTTTCTGCAACCACATGAACACCCACAATGTCGCCTTCTACCCTTGGTCCATCGAGGTCCGTATTGTGTACGCAGACTGGCAGTGGCTCTCCAGGGTCTCAAGCAGAGGTTCTGCCAGCCAGCCAGCCCATCTACCACTGAGCCACAGCCCCTCCCCCCGTGTCATCCAGGTTGGACTTCAGGACACAAGTTCAGGGCCTCAGATGGGGCAGGAGTGTGTGTGTGGGGGGGAGCAGGCTGTATTTTTGCATCTGAAGTATGTATAACCGCTGTTATGTCCGCTGACCGCCACCAGGGGCCAGCGAATACCCCCGAGCTTGACTCTCTAGGAACAATGGGGACTAGGCTGCTAGTCTCTCCACTGGGGAACCAATAGGGCCGGGGCGGGAGATTTAAACCCACCAACGGGACCTAGGGGAGTGCCCCCAGGTGTGTATATAGTTGGCCAGCTGGCCGTTAGTCTTTGTCTTTGTTGTGTACCAGTAAACCATGCTGATCACTACATCAGTCTCAGTGGTTTCTACATGCGTCTAACCCACTACACTTCAACCACCTAAAGGGACGATCCCTATCAACACCTTCCAGTCAGGCAGCTAAAATTTCCTAAACCGCCTCACAGCTCCCCACTCAAACAAAGTGTTCCCTTCTCTTCCCCCTCCTCTGCCTGCCAGAAGTGAGAACGGGAGTGGGGATCCCGTGGTTGTTGCTGATGGTCTAATTTTTGTGCACTTAGCCAAGTAACGAGCGCCTTGGATGTCCACCCACAAACACAGCCTTGCTTGATTCTCTCTCTCCTGCCCATTCGCCTTTGTGTACTGCAGTGCTGCCTCTGGGGCATGATTAAATGGATCAGGTACATTGAGACAGACAGAAGGGGCGGATAACAACATACAGATATACAGATCTGCCCTTTACTGAGCCCAGACCATCTGAATTCACCTAGCAGAGTGTTGTCATTTCTCAAGCTATGTAAAACAGAATTGTTCGGGCCAACACTTTCTTAATGGTGGTAGGGCTGTACTACAATAAAATGGTTCAGGAAGGCACTCCATAAAGTGTCTGAATTCACCTAGCAGAGTGTTGTCGTTTCTCAAGCTATGTAAAACAAAATTGTTCAGGCCGACATTTTCTTAATGGTGGTAGGGCTATACTACAATAGAATGGTTCAGGAAGGCACTCCATAAAGTGAAAGGGACTGTGCACTATATCACTGTGTATACGATCTATCATTTCTTTGCTATTGTGTACTATCCTGCTCTCATACCACTGTTTTCTACTGATGTAATACCATTCTTCTGCATTGCTTAACGTACATCTAATACTCTATGCTTTGCTTCAGGTTTTTGTAATCTTAAGTCTTTGTGCATTGATTGCATTGACTTTCACCATGTAATCCACCTCGAATCTCAGTAAGATGGACTAGAAGTGTCGTAAATAAATAAATAAATGACGGATCTTTCTCAGGAACTTTTTAACTAGTCCATTAATGTGAATTGAGCTTGGAACTTTCCAAAGGCCATTTTAGGCATTACGTTTTAGGTATACCCATATCATCATCATGTGAATGGAAACAAGTACATTTTTCAAAAATATGGATTATACAGGTACAACCTCTCAGGGAGCCAGGACTGGCTAACAGAACCCTATTGGGTTTACATACTGGCAAACACACGTTTGGCTGGGTGAACTGTGTGTCTAATGGCTCTGACATTACATTCACTGCTGCACCCTCTCAAATACGATTAATGCCTACGGGGATAATTGTGATTAGCTTCGGACAACTCTCGCAAGTTTTCGTAACAGGTGAATAAACCAGGATAAAATCTCACATTAAATGCTCACTGTGGTCTCTTGAGTAAAAATGTCTGAACGAACCCTTCAGGTCTTATCAAAGAAAAACACATGCTGGTGGTCTGCCTTTAAGTCTTCTCTGGATCATGACCTTAACTTGAGCATTTCTGTCTACCTTCTGAACTCTGTGCCTCTTTGCCAAAAGCTTTAGAGCCAATGTTCCCTCTAATTTTTATCCCCTACTGAGTGGAGCAGTTCACATCATGAGCAGAATATCACTGCTGTGATCTTAAAATGAGCCAAACAATAGAGACCCCAAAGCATATGTGATATACAGAAATACAAACTGCAAAGGTAGACCATAAAAAAATTCACAAATTTCACAAGTTACCAGTACACATCAGTCTATTGCAACATAATTACAGTAAGTCAATTGATAAAGTAGAATTGGTGGTCACAATCAGGGGTCATTTCCTGCAGGAGCACACAGGAGCGGAGCTCCCGCAGTAAAGAGCCCAGGGGGCGGGCACATGCAACAAGCCCCGCCCCCTGCTCCTTCTCTCCCTCTTTCCTTCTATTTCTTTCCTTCTTTTTCTTTTCCTCCTTCTTTCCTTCCTTCTTTCCGTCTCTCCCTCTTT